AAGGTTGAATTAGCATAGAGAATTGGGCTGCTGTTAAATTCTTTGTGTAGAGAATTGCAGGTGGGTTTTTTTTTAATTCTTTTTTCAAATGTGATTAAAATATATTGCACCACTTAGTCTTAGGGTTGCAGTACATGAGATTGTGATTTACAGAGTCCTTCCTTGAAACCTTCCATCTTCAGGAACAAAACGAAGTCAAACTTTGTAGAAGTTTTCACATGTTCTAGTAGGTTTCCACTACCTTTGCATTTTCCTTCCTTTCAGCTGCTTCGTGGTTTTGTTGTTAGATCTCCAACCAGATTTGACAGGCCTAAGGGGAATAATTGCTATGCATGCAATTGAGTTCTGTCCTTCATCTTAGATTATCAGTGCTCTGTTACTTTAAGACAAGGAGTACTTTATGAAGAAAAGGAAGTTGGGTCAAAAGGAGGGACGTTGTATAGCACAGTTTGTCCCACTGAAGACAATAACTATTTTTAGCTGCTCCATCTGGGGAGATGGTCTGTGACCTGTGTCTAGAGACCAGCATGTGGCTTATGAGTCTTCTCAGAACCTTTCAAGTTGCCCTGAACCATAAAAGATTGAAAAATTTCAAAGAAAGGCTTCCAGAGAGACCACCAAGTGTGGTATCTCTACTGCACCATGACCTGTTTAGGGTTGTTGCTTGTAGGTAGTGAAATCTTGAAAAACAGAATCACATCACTTTTAGGTGTGGAAGGATTTGCAGTACCATTCTACCATTTTTTTGATACAAGATTGGCTTAAGAAGTGAGATAGGACAGATTCGTTGAAGTCTTCCTGTGTTCCGCTGCCCTGTATGTTTTGCAACTATGTATTGAACAGTAGATTTCTGTGGACAGCAGTTGCAGGTCAGGTTCAACTCTGTGTTTGTAACTGACAAGCTTCGGGGTATTCTGTGGTACTGTAAGTAAGTTACTGTACCCCTCAACCTAATACTGAAATAATTTGCCTAACTAAGAGGGAAAGCTCATTTCCCCTACTTTGATGGCAGCAGCATACAGAAAATCCAAAGAGATCTGACTGTTTGCTTCTTCGTCCTATTTTGTATGTTGTGCGAACGTAGCCAGGAATGCATCTGGATTTCTATGGGACTGTACGTCAGACAGGGATAGCTGGAGAACTTACATGCTGGAACCCTGTTCTGCTACTTTGGAGAAGGTTGTGATTGCTTTATAGTTGTCTGGAGGAAAAGTCTAGCCTAGCTTTTAGGATTTGAGTTTGTGGATGGTCCAGTTCCCTACTATTCTTGCCACAGAGTAAATCCTCTGTGAATTCGAGTAATCTTTCAGTTTTTCTGTGCCTCCTTGCCCCTCTGTGAAATGGGATAACTGTATGTGGTACTGGGTAGTCAGACTAGAAAAGGAGGTGATCAAATGCTTAAATTCAGTATCCATAAAGCTGGATAAAACAGTGTCCAGCAGAGATTTTTGGGGGTGTTTCTTTGTCTTTTTGATCTTACAGAAATTTCATATACTAGTAACATGAAATAACAATTTTTTTTCTTCTTTTTCTTTAGCCAATAAGAACTTTAGGAAGAAAAGATAATTATATTTCTCTCATTTCTGAGCTACTTAATTAAGATATATATTCTCTTCTAGGCCAGTGAGTTGCCTCAGAGCAAAAATCATCCTTTATTTTACTATTGTTTAAAAATCCAACAATGTACTATGTTAATTTGTTACTATGCCACCCAGGCAATGCAAAGTAAGTTAAGAAAGAGATCACTTGGAAACCATTTGGAAAGAATTAGTTTCATGGTGATATTTTTAGCTTTTGCATATATATATTAAGAGCAAACTTAGTACTCTGTTTTTCTTCTTGGTCTTGCGTGAATTTTGATTCTAAGCATTGCTAAATGTATTTACTATTGTTTTCAAATTGGTCACGGGCTTGTTGCAGCAAACATTGCCCAACTTTATTTGTTCAGAATAAAACCTTACATTATTCTTTGGTAACAACTATTGAATCACACTTTCCTAAAAGTGCACTGCATGTTTGAAGTCGTTTGCTGTTCTTGCTCTTTTTTTTTTTTTTCTCCTTTGTACAGGTGCCGATAGCAGTGAATTAGGATTAATGTGAGGGCATTTTTCCATAGTAATTGCATTGTGAATGAATATTTGCTATTTGTTAAATAGTGGGAAAAAAAAAAAGAAAGGTTAATAGGGTAACTTTTTGTACACATCATTGTTGATTCATATTTTTTGTACCAGTTAAATTGTTTGGTATTTTACTTAGAATCATAGAATCCTAGAATACTGAGTTGGAAGGGACTTATCAAGTTCGAGTCCAACTCTTGGCCTTGCACAAGATACCCCAAGAATCGGACCATGTGCCTGAGAGTGTTGTCCAAGAGCTTCTTGAACTCACACGGGAATTATTTATTAAACATTATACAGTCTCGATTCTAGACTATTCCAACCTAGACTGTTTTGTTGAGGTTTTGTAAGAAGAATTGTGGTGCCTGATAAAGGGAATCTTGGATAACTGGTGTCATGCCTAGTTTGTTTAAACTCAGACAACATAAATTCCTGAGAAACAAATGATGTATCACATAGGTCATACAAGAGAAATTATTAAAATTTTTTAACTATTTTACCTTTTTTCAGCTTTTGGGTGTTAGTCAAGAGCTACAAAAATTATTCCGTTTATTGCTTGCATTTGCACAACATTAGTTCTACATAATTCTTGTGTTTTTCAAATCATGCTCATGTAATCGCTGAGATACTGTGGCAAATAAGCAAGCTCTAATAAAAATGCTTAAGTTTTTAATGACCATGTTTTTAAAGTTATTGCTTTCATGAAGTCTATAGCTCATTTTTAGCTTCCCTTTAGAGGATTTAATGAAGATAGAGACAATCTTGTATATTCAAACAACACATTATAGAGACATTTTACTTACCATTAACTCCAGTCATTTCAAGGGTACTGCCATTTTATCTCGCAGAAATATAAATATATATAAATAAAAAAATATGAAAATATACAATTTATATAATTTATATATATAAATAAAAATATTTACAAGTCACTTGAAACTACTTTAGTGGGCAAGGATAGAGAAATATATGTTTTGTGGTTATTCTTTTTTTTTTAATCACACTTTGAAGTGGAAAGTGACATCAGCACTTGGTAAAACCTAACCTCAGTTACTGAGATTGTGACCATTGTAGCTGGTGCTCAGTTTTAGTCAATACACTTGGGGTCTGGACCATTTGGGAGAGTCCAGAGCAGGTAGGAGAGGATGATCAAAAATCTGAAGAACATGGCTTGTGAGGGAAATGTAGCAAGAATAATTTCTCATTGTGCATGTGAACAGAGAGTGAAGTAAAAGATGAAATAGAAGCAAGGGAAGTCTTATGTAAGGAAAAAAAAGGACTAACAATACATTAGAAGAAATAGTGGAGGACATCTGGAGAGTGGGAAAAACTTTAAGTGACATGACTCATTTTAGTCTTATTTGCTATCATTCTGTAGGTTAGGGAGAATATGTTCCTTGAATTTTTTTGCTGGGGGTCCCACATTTACATGGGAGAGAACAAAGTGGAGCACATTTTGTGGGGTAATTGCTTCTACTTCTCACAGGCAGCTGTGAGAGAAGGTGCCCTTATGACTGATTTGTTCTGTGGAAGGTATTCTGAAGTGCAGTTATCTTATTTACTTTTACTAGCTTATATATTGATCCATTTCTGTGACATGTATGTAAGTCTGTAAAAAACAAAACAATAATTACAAATTTTGAAATTACAAGACTTTTCTAATAATGTTTTTAAAAAATGTATTTCCAAATAAATAAAACCTCTTTGTTTCTTTCCAATTTTGTTTCTTCTCAATAACAAAGATCTGAACATAATAGATGTTTCATGGATTAATTTTTTTGACTAAGAAAATAACAAATGCTCATTTTTTGACATAAAGTTTCATTTTGAAAAAATGGTTAATCTTTAGTAATTTTTATTAGCTAATTTATACCTGTTCAATTCATTCACAAACTACTGCAGCATTTGAGTTATCTTTAATATTATAATACTTTAATTTATTAATTTCTTCAGCAGTTAAAAAACTTGGAGTTTTGAGAACATTGTAAGAAATATCCTTCCAGAATTCTGTTGACAGTCTAAAAGCATCTTTTATATAAGCTAGTAAAATGGTAATTCAACCTAATAACTAGAACAATGGCATTTTACTAACTTTTTAAATCATAAATGAATGAGATAATAAGATTAAAAATACAGAGTTATGACATGAATGTGTGCTTTGTTCATTTATTTGACAAGTGTTTTTGTTCTAATTATGTAAGTTCCAAATATATCAGTGAAAGCATTAGTGAAATTAGATTTCATTACAGTTACCAGCTATTGAGTAGCTAAACTGAAGAAAACTCACTTTCTTTAGGTCCAAATATGGCATTGCATAATGTGAATGGATGAGGAGTTCTGTGACAATTCCGTAACAGTCCTTGAAACAATATGATCATTTTGATTTGACCGAATTGATATTTTTTTACGTATTTCTGTGGCTTGTTTACCAGAAAAATCATTAAACTTAAGTGGTTCTCTAGTGTCTTCATAGTATTTATTGATCTTTTTTATTTAATTATGTTTGTTGAAGCTTTCAGATGATTTCTTAGTGGATGCTTATTGTTGTCTCAGACATTTTTGTTACCTGTGACTTTGAGCACTGATGGGGATATTGGCTCTTTCATTAGAAAACTGTCATTTGATGACTTTATTGTTGACAAAATTATTTTTTAGTAGCTTTTTGATGCAAAGGTGAGAGCTGTTTTCTCCTCTTTGAGAACAGGATAACATGTTGTATGTACGGTGGTTTTTCCAGTACAATAAAACATAATGAAACTCCACTATTCCGATGAGTCAGAGAGCATGGGAACTGTTTGGTTTCACTGCAAAGAAAAAGAGATTGAATACTGACACGTGCTATTCCTTTCTCCCTGTAATCTAACTCTTGCAATATTTGTTCAGCTAGGATTGTGTGTTAGCAGAGCTTCAGCATCTGTCCTCAATCTCAACTGCTGCCTGGTCCTTCTACCAATGTGCCGCGTTATCTTGGCCTTCCTGCGAGGATCTCAGAAGGTAAGTAATGTCCTCAGAATGCTGCAATTGAGAAGAGGGCCCTGGTCTCTGTTTAGTTGAAAAATAATAGAAAAAGAATCTGTTATATCCCTGATTATTATACAGTATGTGCTTGCATGGTGCAAGTATCAGACATTCAACCTAGATCCATAACTCCTTTGAAGACAATGCCATGGCTGACACTGTCTGGTTTGATTTGGCCTGTTGTGAGGATGATTTCTTCAGTGCATTTTTGAAGGATGGAGAGCTGCTGTCGAACTGTAGCCAGATGAAGTATCCTTTGTCTTTCTGAACTGTAATATTAGAGGCATCTGTGTCCTCTCTACTGCTTTTTGGTAGAATTCAACAGAACAAAACCAGCTTTATCTCTGCGTGACCATAAGTGTCCTACTGGAGATGATAGAACTTTAAATAAGAATACCCAACCTGATACATTCATTATCATGGGAAATTAAAAGAAAAAACTTCTGTCAAATCTAAGAGGGTTTGTTTTCTGTACCATTATTCAGTAAACAGTAGTTTAGCTTCTTTGTGATTCACAGGTTGCTTTTTTGAAAATGTAAGTAATGCTTTTGAGGAACAGTTTTCTGGATGGTTGCAAATTGAACCTGTGACCTCTGAGCATCATGTGACAATACTGATAAAATTTGATGCCTGTAGATGCATCTGTGTATGCAAATATACCATTCCTTTTGATCTTCTTTATAAAAGAGTCAGTGATGCTACACAGTTAGTGCAATTCCTAAATTTTAAGGCCAGAAGGTACGTTATGTGCTATTGATATCTATGTAATACAGATCTGAGTGTAATTTCTTCATTAAGTCCTCAAATTCATCTCTTTGTCATAATCCAGTAGTTTTTAAATTTAGGTACTATGCTTGCAAGACTGTTAAACCTAGTAAAAGCTGAAGTTACTATTATGTCGCAGCAGTTGCTGTTAGTATTCTTTTTCTTTGCTTTGTTTTAGAAGAGATTGCTTGAATTCTTCTCTTACTAGGTTGCCAGCAAGAAAACCAGAAGGCTGCTAGACAAAAGTAAAACTTTCCATGTGACATGTGGTGTTACAATATGCATCTTTTCAGGTGAGATCTTTTTGTGCTGAGTAGCAGCGTGATTGGGAAGCACACTGAAGCAGTACTTCGTGGTTTTTCTTCTACAGTACGTTTGGGGATAGTCTTGCTCTGTGCTTGCCTGTCTTAAATTGTAAATGCTTTCTCGGATGTGTGAGGGTTTTGGTTCATTTTTGCTTTAAACACATGGCCATACATTCTAATGCTGAGCCTTTCCTTAAAATTCCAATTTCTAGAAGGATAGGTATATGAGATCAGGTCAAAATATGCCATTATCCCTTTGTGCCTAAGGGATTAGGGTGAAGAAGCAGGGTACTACAGGCTTAACTGCAGGGAAGGCAACAGTGGAGACAACTACCCAGTTTGGTGAAGAAGAAATATTCTTGGCTGGACACTTTTGAATGTTGCCTCTCAGCTGAAGCATTGTACCATGGAAATCATTGCTACAGAGTTAAAAAAACCCCTTAAAATACATACATCTTTCTGTCATGAATATTTATAAACTGATTTAGAAAAAGTCAGTCCCTGATTTAGTCCCTGATTTAGTCCCTGATTTAGTCCCTGATTTAGTCCCTGATGTACCTCATGCAGGTGATGTGATTACAGCTTGGCATCTGGGTGGCCACTTCAGGGGAACATCCATATCTTGTTTACAGACCTCACCTTTACTCAGTTTTTTTTTCTCAGTCTTACATGTTGCTGCTCATCTGGTGAATGCTCTTAACTTCTCTGAGAACTACAATGAAGAATTTCTGGCCCTAAATGCAGCAAACTATCGTGGTGAGGTGAGCCAGCTGTCCTTTCATATTTCCCTTTTAAGCATATAATTTAAATATATGATTATTTTCATATTCAGTTCCATTATATGATCCATCCTATGATCTATATAGTGCTTCTGTTTCGTGCACTGAAAACTCGCGTCATGTGGGTTGCTGTGGATTTTGCTTCTTTCTCTGGACAAAGCATGTATTAAGCACTTTTTGTTTAATGCAGCAGGGATCATTCCTATTTGATTATGAGATGGAGAATGCAGTCATCAAGTTCTTTCACCTTGCACCTTGTTCTCCTGCTTCTTTTCTACTTCTCTCTGTTCCTTGAGTGGGCCAGATTGAGACATTTCTACTGCTTTTTGGGAAAATACATTCCTCATTTCCACTATTTAGAATGCGGTGAGATTTGAAATGGATTTTGCATTTTTGAGCTGCAGTGAGTATATATGCTAAGAGTAGAATTAGTTGTCTACATGAATTGGGCTGGAAGCTGATTTCTAGTTGCAAAATACTTGATTTGTTTACGTTCTTTGACTTTGGTGCAGATTTCTTGCAACCATATCAGATTCCTAGTCCAGGTGCTTGCTTCTGTATTTGGCACTGGAAAGGTATTTGCAGATTTAAGAAGCAAGACCAGAGTCCAGGACTCTTTCTTCTTTGGGCTACAATCAAGTTCCCTCTTGTTTATATTCATTCTAGTCTCAAGTCTGCATTTCTTTTCTACCAGCTTCATTAGGAAATATTTGCAATGACCCTATCCCAGCTGCATCCTTTCCCAGAAAAAGAGAGCTTGACTCAACCCAGGCTCATAAGGACCAACAACCAAGGTCTTGCAATCCCAGGGTGAATGATCTAATCATGGAGCTATTCTATGGCAGACAGACATGCCAACACCAACTATTGTGCTGAGCTTCTGAGTTGAACTGCGTGTCTGTTTGTGTTAGGAGTGGTCTTATAGGCTTAGCCTCATCAGGAACATTATCAGGAGCCTGCCTCAGGCAAGAACATGCCAGGGTGTGCATGGCAGCCTCTACTAAGCAGTCTTAGGAATTTCGCAACAGAAAATGGAGATTACAGCAAGTTTTTAGGAACTCTAGGATCAAACTTTCTGGATTCTAGGTACTTTAGTAGCTTTTGAACCTTTGTACTTGAAGTCCACTTAAACCCATTTTTTAACTGTGGTGGGCAGTCTGGATGCTGCTGTCATGTTCTCTACATGTGTATGCGCATCTGATCAGAGACAAGGACGAGGTCAGAGAGAGGATACTTCATTTTTCCTGACCTGTATGAAAACTGCTAACCTCCCCTCACTGCATTTTACCGCAAGTTTAATAATAATAACAACAACAACAATAATAATAATAATAATAAAGTTTTCTCCACAATGAAGACAAAACCTCTGAAATATAGGACTCAGGGGGAGTGAGGCAGTTTCCTGTGAGGCTGACATATCCCCTCTTCCTTTCACATGTTGTGAAGGACACAGGAACATCTGTGTCCTTTGTGTTCAGTCTTGCTTCACTAGAGTCCCCTGCAAATCTCTTGGTGATGTAGCTGGCAGTAAAATGCTTGCCTCTTGTCTTACATTTAAATTCAAATTCTCTCCCTCTTCTACTTCCTTTTGTCCCCCCAAAGGGATGAGGTAATTGAGTAAAACTTTCAAAAATAATTGTCTGTAAAATTATCTGAATCCCAGTTTTTAATAACAGATAAGAATTATCTGTTATTAAAAATTATCTGTTATCTGGGGAAATGCAGAGGCTAAAGATTTAGTTTATGTTGAATTACAGTCAATGTAAACTACTACCAAATTCATTCCTGCATCCAGGTTTAGGAATTACTTATGTCTTAATGTGCATGAGCTTTATGAACTACTTATTATTACCATGTTATTCATATAGGTATAAAATCCCATATGTTGATTTTTTTTTTCTGCTTGTCTGTTTTTCAGGACCCAAGGAAACTACTTTTTGCAACTGGTAAGTCTGTTGCAAAACTGAATGAGAAAGTTTGCTGCTTCTCATTACTTTCCAGACAAAATTTTTGATCCTCTGTTCACATGCTCCATTTGTTGTATTTCAGCTAGCTTGATTTATTTGTGTTAATATAACCTGGGTTTGCTTATCCAATAGTCAGGAGGGAGGAGTTACATAAGCCCCATAGTAGCTTGAGCAGCATCTTCAAAGCTGTTATTGTACAGATGAGTCAGCAGATAATCATTAGTTTCAAACAGAGATTCTGCATAATATTAAAACCAAATTCCTAAATGATCCAATTTCAAGAAAAAAAAACATAACGGTAGAGCGGTCTTCTTGCTTCAGCTGTTTTATTTAAGGGTTGGTTTGGCTTCAGAGCAATCTGAACTGTTACATGGGAATCAGACTTCAGCACTCATAAAGAATAAAAAGACAAGACATTTTTGGTGCAGGAATTTAGAAAGGAGCAATGTTTGAGTATGGAGGGGCAGACACAAACCTGAGCTGTTGTGCTTCACAAGCAGGTAAACGTCCTTCCTGATGCCATCACACTTCCACCCTTATTTAGATCAAACAATAAAACCCCAACTTTGTAGCTTTTAGGGCATGGTCCAAAGGAATCTGAATAGACAGCAATGGATGGGGTTCTAGATTTGTCAATCCCAACAGATGTTCTAGAATTAGATTTCTGCTTGATGATTGACCTGACTGACTTTGTTTAAACCCAAATATGTGGCTTTTAAGGTGACCAGAAATTACACATAAATACTAACATTCTTTGAGGATTAAAAGGTATTGATGTAATCTCTCACAGATTTTAGGATCCTAATTCTTAATTCATATTCTTAATTACTGGGATGGCACTTTTGAAGATAAGATGCTTAGAAAATGTGCTAACTGTTATTTTCTAATCTGTCTTTAGGTTGATAATTTACTGTACTTTATGGGCAGGATTCTGCTTTAGGATGGGGTCATAGAATATGTTGAGTTGGAAGGCACCCATCAGGATCATTGAGTCCAACTCTTGGCCCTGTGCAGGACACCTCAAGAATCACACCATGTGCCTGAGAGCTTCGTCCAACATACCATGCTGTAGAAATACTTGTTTCTCTCCTTTGACTTAAAAGGGCTGAGGATAAACTAGTTCTGATAAGAGTCTGCATTTGAACAAATGAGTCCAATTGTTAATATTTTTAACCTTCCCTTCTCAAATACTGGCTGCAGATCACTCTCACAGACCTTGCTCCGTGGTCAACAATTTCAAGCATTATACTTTGCCATGGAGATTAATTTCGGGCTCTTCCTCATTCCAGAATGAAATGGGTTGGCAAACAATTGTAGTGACAGATTGCATAGAAATTGATTTGCTTGAAATTCTGTCCCTGACCAGGTTGTTAATTGTCATGATCAACAGAGTTTAGGTCCTGGAATAAGAAAGAGATAAAGAAATTTGTATAGTCAGTCTTACAAATAAACAGTGTTTGTTCTTAGTTACCTGCTTAGAGACAGATGTCATGAGCAAAAGATTGCAGCAGCAAAGACTAATACAAAATTATTGATGCATGGTGTAATACAAGGGAGAAGGTAATTTTCTCTGAGAAGGTGGGAAATTACACAACAACTCTTCTTTCTTATCTAGTTTGATACATGAATTGTGCTCAAGAGATAAGTATTTGCAAGAGTTTGATTAAATCATGATTTGTATATCTAATTCCACTTCCTTAGAAAATCACAGTAGACAAGTATACCTTTTCACAGTTCAAATGTAAGTTATCTTATGTCCCTTTTAGTTCCAGGTCTGACTGGAGTCATTATGGTGTTAGTATTATTCCTAATGTGTACAGCTTCCACATTTGCCATCAGGTAAGACATAATCTGATCATTATACTGAAAAATGCCATTTCAGTAATCATATTCTCCTACTGATTAGAGTGTTAAAAATACCAATTTTCTTGCCCTATTTTTCCCTAGCTTGCAGTAAAATTAGCACAGTAAATTTCGCATTAGAACAGTTACAAAACTTGATTGAATTGCCTTCTGAGAAAAATACTATTTGATGAATGTGCTCAGTTAAAAATGTAGATCTTTCAAATTATCAAATAGTACTTTTTTTATTTTTTTCTGTTTGTACAGGGAGGCGGTAAACTAAGCATATGGAAAATTTTATCCAATGCATAAATTAAGTCCACTGGAAGTAGAATAAGATTATATCCTTATCCTAATTATTTTCACCAATTAATTGTAACAACAAACTGTAAGAAAAACAGTAGCAAGAAAACCCCCTATTCTACTTAAGTAGAATGTTGCTTTTTAAAGTTCTGCTTCTGGTTGTTAGATATATTCTCTTTAGTGTGAATTACAATTCCAAACAGCAATGCAGTGTTGGCTCAGAGCAGCTGATGGGATTTCTGAAGGTTTAGTCCTCCAGTAGGTTCACATTCTGTACCAACATTATTGAACACACATGATAGTAACTGTGAGTGACTGGTACCTTGGAGGATTTAGCACAACGCTGCAGTCTTTTTAAGGCTTGGATTCTGCAAGCGAACATATAAAAATAACCCCGTCATTTTTATAGTGGTTGAATTCAAAGACTGCTCATGTAAATGCATCATCTCACTTCAGCCAACATGGTAGGATGTATCAATTATGTATCTGCAAACATTAATGGTGCTCCATTGATGTGAGTTACACATGTGGTTTTGAACTTTGTTGAACTAATCTGTCTTTCCTGAGTAGAAATGTTATCTGGCAACATTATCCTGTGATTTGGGACATTAGTTCAGCAAATATTTGTGCATTTTCAGTAGACAAGACTACTTCCAGGGTTGAGACCTCTGTGAGGCACTGCAGGCTACAGAAGTGCAAGATTAGGCTGCTGCATGAGATGTCAGGATGGCTGCACACTACGTAGTCTGTACAAATGGCTCTTCTTGTAAAAGAAAAGCAGTTTTGGGAAGATGGAAAAATAACACAATTACTTCACTCTGCAGCAATGAGCCAGAACAAAGTCCTGTTTTCTTCAAGGCCATAATAAATTAGAAAAAAAAGAGACAACATAATGTATTAATGATTGGGAAACTTAGAAAAATATAGGTAGTTGTAAACATATTCTTGGAAATAATTTTGGGGTTCATGCAACATCTTTTGAAGTTACATGCTTTTTATTTCCTTCCACAGTTACTGTAAGTGCAAATACATTCCCAGCTCTCTGCTGTCTAGCCAGAAGAATCAAAGCCCTGAAAAGATCATCTGCATTTCCAGTTACTTTAGCAATAGTTCTTATTTAGAAATGTTATCCTGGCTTCTCTCTCAAACATAGATCTTAAGCATGTCTTTATAGTGTGTTTTCCTAAGAAAACAAGCTTCTGAGTGCATATCATTGTCCCTGTTTAAGCTCTTTCCCTGTATATTCTCATGTGCCCTATGATGGGTGAGCATACTGTATAGTCTTAGGAAAATCATTTCCAAATATTCACTGCCTCTCAGAAGCTGGGCTTTTCAAAAAGTATTTCAGAGACTATTATTCTCTTGGATTCCAGCCCTAATCTGCTCTTGCACACTGACCTGCTTAATAATTTCTTCCTTTGTATATTCCTCCTGAAATTTTTATATGCATGATTATCCCTCTATTTTCCTGCCTTTACTTGTTTAGTAAAGTGTCTGAATAAGTATTGGGATTGAATTAGCTGCTAATGTTTTAAAAGGGGAAAGTGCGTACTGATTGAAAAATTTTCTGAATTTTTGCCTTGTCACACATGAGAATTAGGCCAATATTTTTGGTTCAGTAGTTGTTTATCAGAAGGGTTATGAAGTTATCAGAAAACACAATAAATTCTATCAATAAATTTTGACAATTCTGCTAACTTTCAAATTAATGTCGTTCACGATTTGGAAGTCATGTATTTAAAAGAACATTAAAAAATAAGGTGCTCAAATGCCATCTATTTTTGTAACCAAATATTCCAATCTTCAATTTAATCTTCTAAAGTAGCACATAAATCTTCCTTTTCAAAACTATCTGTAACAGGGTTAAAAATATTTTTCCAAAACTGTACTACTTACTGTGTCCCCTTAAAGCATGCCAAACTCCCTGTACGTTTTCAGTGAGTTAACTATTGCAGGTCTTCACCTGCAAAATTCTAAAGTAGGTTAACCAAAACTTAAACTAGATATTCAACTTACCTCAAATTTTCAGTGCTTTGCAGTCCTAAGCAATGCATTAGTTCTGTGAATAATGTCTATTTTAAGCCTTAGAAGGAAAAAAAATAATAAATGTTCTGAAGAACTATAAAAATATGTGTATCAATAGGAAGATTATTGAATATGTTAAAATATTGCATATATCCATAGGATATACAGTTTAAAGATACAAGAAATACATAATTATTGTAATGTTGGAAAATATATTTCATGGTAAGAGGTTCAAGGATTCACATCCCCTTAATTTAAGGAGGTGAAGTTCAGAGGGCTTGCTGACATTTAGGGGAATTTTATATATGTGAGGAACAGGATTTTATAGTACAGTTATCTGTAGGAGTGCTGAAAGAAAAATAAAATACTTAAGTGGCTAGAAGCTGACATTTAGGTTTATTCAAGACATGCACAAGTGCACAAGACATGCACAAGAAGAGCTTCAAGATCTGTTGTCATCCCTGCCCATAGCATGGGGCAAGGAACTAGGTGATCTTTAAGGTGCCTTCTAACCCAAGCCATTCTAGGATTCTATGACCTGTTTCAGGACTGAGGGTAAATTTTGCTCTTTGTGCCTTCCAGTTGTGTTTCCACTCCCTATACCATCATTTATTTTCATCTTACTGATGTTGACTCCCATAACGTCTTAAGAGATATGATGAGTGACTGCATGGAAATGCCTACCAGGGTATGAGGAGTTAGAAATGGTTTGAGCGGCTTCAAGGAGGAAAAAGTGTTAACATAGTGCTGACTGGGGGAAGGATGTCAGGGTGGAAGGGAGGTTTCAGAGCCCCTTGCTGTTGCTAGGTACCTTACTTTGCTTCCTTTCTTCCTCCTTTACTTCATTCTTTGTTTCTTCACTTGCTTGGATTTTATTTTGGTAGCCCTCAGATTATCAAAATTATTTTTTTTCTTGAAAAAGAAAACAAATAAGTCCTGTATTGACAGACAGATGCAATATATGTGTCAATTGTATTGAAGCAAGGGCAGTTAGCTGGTTATCTAGAAGACCATAGGAGAGGAAAAATTCTGAAAAAAAAATAATTTAACTGTGCCAAAGGAATAGCTTCTCAAATCATGTTCTCAGTGTTAAAGTTGTTTTTTTATTTAATAATTGGTTTGGCTTATGAATGGGAGTAGGTTTTGGTTTTGGAAGGGATTCTCCTACCATGCTGTGTAGTGTGAAAGGTGTGTTTGTGTGCTGTGAAGTAGTGTATTTTCTTAACCATTTGGTTGTTGTTGTTTGTTGGTAACTATTTTACTCAAGCAAAAATCAAACAAGCTTAACAGAAAACAGTTCTGGGTGGATATTTTCTTTGGTCTTGGTTCTTTTCATTTTGCCTAACAAATTACTGATGAAAGGAAGTGTTCTTTTCCCTTCACCTCTCCTGCTCTCACAGTGTAATGTTCTTCTTGTCCCTCCCAAGACCATCAGCCCTAGAGCCATACTGTATGTGGCTTCCTGTCCTGAAAATTATCCTACCTGTGCTCTTGTTGCATTCTTGCTCTAGTTCCTGTTCCTCCTGTATCTCCTTACACTCTATACCCTCACAAGTTTTTTACCCTTCCCACTAGCCCTTTTGCTGCTGTCCATGCTACCTGTTTATGTGTTGTAACCTTAGTGAAACATTAAATTGTATTGGGGCAGGCAGAATGCAAGGTGATGCTCACTATAAAGGGGTTGAGTTTTGAAACTGCAGATGGAGGAACTATTCTAGCTATGAGAGTCTCATAGATACTAACTAGGACCTATGAAAGCAGTGAAGTCTCCTAATTTCAGAAGAGTTCTTCAGCTGTCTTTGTACTTCTACATCCCTATCTCTCTTTGTCAGCTTGTTACTTCTGTGCCAGTCACTTGTTCTTCTCAACACTTAATTGCGTGCAAGTACGGTGTGCCTGTAGGAAAACATGCTGGGCTTTGACTCTTCTACATGACTATGTAGCATATAATGATGTCCTGTGTGCACAGGTCTGTTTTTAATTTGCAGTGATTCCATCTAAGTTGAAACAGCATTGAACCGTGGTTTATTCTTTTCAGGGTTTCAAACTATGACATCTTCTGGTATACACACAACCTTTTCTTTGTCTTCTATATGCTGCTGATGCTGCACGTTTCTGGGTAAGTAAATGGCAAACACTGTCCCTTTTCCTGAAGCACAACCAGAAAGAGCAGTTTTCTTGATTGCTGCCTTTCCTGAGCTTGCTTGTGCACAGCGGGCCAACTTTGTGCCAACTTTGCTGTCTTATATGGTTTTTCAACAGATGTTTGTTTAAATAAATATCAGATTGTAACTTGAAGTATTGTATGTGCTACAGCCAACTAGAACAAATTTCTTCACTTTCAATATTATTCCTTGTCCATTTTACCAGTGTCTAGTGAGAAATCAAGAGAACATAGTTTCTTTCTCTGCCCCCTCCTACCTGTTTAGTGAGAGAAGAATGTGAAGTAAAGTTGCTCATCTCTTGCATTTTCCTCTCTACCTTTCATTTTGACTCCTAAGGAGAGGGAAGGAATGACTTCTCCCTAATTACCTCTTTCTCACTGGTGTGATACAACATTTGCAAGTTTTTCTTCTTGTTTTCACAAACATCAGACCAGTGTTAATGTGCTGAAGGTCAGGACTGTATCAGGCACAAAAAAACCCCTCTCTATTGCGAGTTAAAGCAGTTTCCACAAGTTACGACTTATGTCTGCATGGGTTGGGATTGAACTAGATGACCCTTAGAGGTCCTTTCCAACCCTAACTATTCTATGATTCTGTGAAAATCTGGGCCATTAATGTCCGTGATATTTCCTCTGTGGATGTAGATGCAGAGATTGGTATAAAGAAGGGAAGGTGTATTTGAATGAGGTGTATTTCTCCATGTCATCAAATATCTACTGAAACACAGAGTGCTTTACTGTGTGACACTGAGCACCGCTGCTTAAAGTAAACGTGGAAAGGTAACTAGGCCTAGCAAAGTCATGGGAGGAATATGTTGTTGAACAGAAACATGCAGCCTGAGATCTGGTGAATTGAAATAATGAGTTCAAAACAATTGAAACTCCTGGACACAATTCCTGTATTCTGTGAGTTTGGTTGTTTGTTTTTTTTTTTTTTTTTTTGCTTGTGGGTTGTTTTTTTTTTGTTTGTTTTTGTTTTTGTGTGTGTTTGTGTGTGTGTGTTTTGTTTTTTGTTTGTTTCTGTTTGTTTGGGGGCTTTTCTGTTTCTTTTTTCTGGGGCATAGCTCTTTTCATAGCTGGGGGAAGACGGATATAATGTGTTCTCCTCATCCTGGGGCAGGATGGACTTTTTCTAAATTATTCTTGACAGGTGTTTTTCTAACTTCTTTAGAACATCTGGTGACTGGGATCCTCTAATCTCCCTAGGTAATCTGTTCCAGTTATTGCCTTTGGGATATTTTTCATGTCCCATTTAATTAATCTCCTTCACTGCATTATCCTTTGCCCACTGTATTCCTAACCATGTTCCATTTACCAAGTTTGCAAACCAAGACTGTAGTAATACACCAAACGTTGAACAGACATCTTCTGGTACACAGCCTCCTTAGTACTGAATTACAGAGGCATTCAGTGCAAATCTAAAAGAACTGAGTGTCAGTTAAAAATGGGAGGGGAATGAGTCATGGAGAGTGGGAGTCAGTTCGTTTCAGATGCCTAAATGTAGGTCTCCCCATGTTTTCTAAGTGTCTTTCTCCCATTATGGTTTAATGAGTTCTGATAAATACAGTCAATGAAGCCCGAAGGATACTTCAACTAACTTGCTGTTACAAAGATTCAAGTGACCTGGATTGATTTATAGGCTCTATTAGTGATAGCAGTAAGATCAAGAGAAAGTGGCCACAAGTTGTATGAGGGCTGATTTAGATTGGATATTAGGAAAACTTTCTTCACCAAAAGAAGATGCTTTAAAACAGGCTGCTCAGGGAAGTAGTGGAGTCACTACTCCTGGAGGTATTTAAAAGACTTGTAGATGTGGTGCTTAGGGACATGGTTTAGTGGTGAACACAGCAGTGCTGGGTTAATGGTTGGACTCAATTATCTTAAAGGTCTTTTCCAACCTAAATAATTTGATCATCTCTTCTAAGAATGAAGGAAACTTAGATATCTGCACCCAAATTACTCCTGTGTGGCATGTCTTGGAGAGCTGTGGACTTGTGGCCAGTTACTCTACAGAACAAGGCATCTTCTGTGGCTGAACTGTGCAGACAGTTTGAGTGAGGTTTTGCCTGTATTTCCACAATATTGCTGGATTCTTGTCTTGTTTAAACTGTTGTGGATACTTCTTGCAATATGACTTTGAAAGGTTTTAGTGGCTTAAGACTTGGTGCATATCTACAATCATTCATCTATATTTTAGGTCAGTAGTAGCAGCAACAAAAATTAGTTTATGTAAAACAGATGCTTGATGTTTCTAGTACCAGTGTAAGGAGCTATAAAACATACAAAATCTTTGGAGCCAGGTTCCCAGCTGATCCAAATTTGATGTTACTGTGGTATTACTGTGGTCTATAGAGGCTGAGAATAAGGCCTTTGTGCTCTCACTAGAGTTATTCAAAGATTTTTCTTCCAAAGGGGTGAAAATTCTTATGAGTCCACCCACACACTGACCTTTAGCAGACCCCTCAAGCAACTTACCTTGAGCTAAGCAGCAGAAGATGGATGAGGAGATAGGAGCAGTGCAATTCCCTATAAAAACATTTGGAATCATTGATGTCTAGTTTATAAACTTTAAAATCTTAAGAAATAGTGATATTTCTATTTTCCAGCTCTAGCCAGAAGTGAATTTTGTCTCTGTTTTGGGCATGGAAAATTGGAGCAGAGCTTGAGAGTCTTGCAGATTCTCCATACTGTGCTGGTCAGCCTGTAGCACACTTTTACATTACTTTCTCATTTTGTCTCACCCATTTTTGTTTGCTAAAGGTGTCTATCTCCTACTTCTTGACATCCATACTGAGTTTTTATATATTCAAGTGTTGCATCTAATAAATACATGAGGATATATCTTGGATTTCTTAAGAATTGTGCAGAACTCAACCTTTCTGGGAAGTGATCTTGGGTGTGTAAGACTTGACTTTCCTTAATAACTTCAGAAATGGGAGTAGTTGCAGCTGCTGTTAACAAACAGCTTTGTCATCACTGTTTGCCACTCAGCATGTTTGTAATAGTTTGACCAAACTAGAGATCACTGGAAGGTATTCTCATGTTTACAGCTATTCATGTCTCAAGGAAATCCTCTTTTGGATGTTCTGAGAACAGAGAAGCTGTGGGAGCTGCTGACAGGCTTGCACACAAGGTTGACTGGAAAAATATTGCATGGGCTTTGACTTCTAGCTGAATCCATGAGGCACTATAATATTTATGAAGCAAGGAACTAACGTAATGCCAGTGGTATCTGCCACTTTGCAAATATGTGATGACCAGCAGTGATGGCAGATGCAAGCGATAGGCATGATCAAGCAGTAAATGCAGGCAGAAGCATGGGTGTAGGTGCAAGGACACTTCCCAAATGATTCTCCCAGGGTCAGATGTGGCATTTAGAGTGAGGGGGTTTAACGTCCAAGCTGACATTGTTCACTGGACCATGTGGGAAGCTTGTTACTGGCTGTCAGGATTGCATTTTTGTAGGGAAGATTGCCAGTAGCTTGTCAGAGCCCACTTAAGTTGGGAGTATTGCAGATGTCCTAGTTCTCTCTCTTCTTGTGAACGAAATTCTATTTCTACTGCTGCTGTGTGTTAAGGAGAGGAGGAGGGAGTCTATGTCCTTATGTTTGATTGCATACTTAAGATGAGCCTTCACAACATGGTCTAGTGCTCAGCGGGCATGTCTCACCAGACATTGCCTCAATATGCCTCATTTCCACCCAGCACCATCCTATAGAGGTGTCATTCAGCCTTTCATTTGGCTGATGGTTGGTTTTTCTTTTATTTTTTTCTTTTTGTTGTTGTTGTTGTTGTTTTTTGTTTTTTTTTTTAAATATTCCTGCTTGTGGATTTACTGTCATCAAATACAGATTCAGAGACAAGTAGTGCTTCTGAGGAATTTTACTACTACTGTTATCTTTTCTTCCCTGTTTCCAATGATTCATTCATGTGCTGGGATATCCCAGAGTGTCTCAGGTTTCCAATTCTTTCTTCAGTTTCTAGCTGCAGCTGCAAAGTTCTTACTTTGTTTTACTACAAATTTAGCTTAGCTTAAAAAAAAAAACAAAAACAAAACCATCAAAACCACAAAACAATTTGCAAGGAAGGTTCCTTGGCTATCATGCAGGACTTTCTTTTTTCCTTTTATCTGACAAGATTATATCCAAAGGAGGAAACTATAGAATTGTGTGCAAACCTGATAAACACCAAGTAGTAGGAACATTCCTGCCATTTATAATTTGGCAACTTAGGCCCCTTCTGCTACAAGACTCCCTTAAAAACAGGGCTTGCTGACTGTAGGGAGGATGAGTGAAAACAGCCTGCCAGTGTGAGATTGAATTGGAAATGTGATTACTTACTTTTTTTGCAAAGTTCCCACAATGTTTTCCCTCTTTCAAGCAGCAATAAGCTTGAGGCTGTTCAGTGTGGGAGTGCCAAGCGAGCTGGAAAAGTTAAACCTTGCCTCTAGTGACAGGAGGCTCTATTGTTGCAAATCTTCAATCTCATTGAAAGTCCTGCAAACAAATGGAATAAAAATTCTAACAGAAGATGAGGCTTTTGACTACTCTCGAAAGCCCTCTCTGAATTAAGATAAGTGGTTTGTTTCTTACTTCAGTGTCTTTATTATTCTTACTTTCATGTAGGGGAGTGCTCAAGTACCAGACGAACTTAGAGGAACACCCTCCTGGTTGCTTTAATCCTAACAAAACGCTCCGACAGAATCTGACTGTGCCAAAGGCTTTTGAAGAGCTGTTTCCTGACTATGCTACTGAGCCTTTCCCAGAAGACTTCCCAGTACCAGAACCCTTTGTACAAAATCACTTTATGAGAATTTGTTCCGAGGAACCCAAGTTCCAGTCACACTTCCCAGAGGTCTGTATGATCCGACATTTCAGGTATTATAAGCCTTGCCAAGTCTTTCAGTCAGCCATAACCACTAATTATTGCTTTTCCAGACCACATGTTTTAATAATGGAAAATATTATTAAAACCTTTTGAGGCATTCAAAGATTTGGTGTGGAAAAATCAATCTGTATTAAACCCTGAGCTGCATTACAACGTGATGCATAGAATAGGGAGGGTGGAAAAATGTCAAGAGGTCAGCTGTAATATTTTTTGTACAACATGATAAGAGAAGTATTGGTCATGCTATAAATGTGACTTTAAATTACAGCGTAGCACTTCAGAGCAAACATTTATATAACATTTCTTAAGGTCCCTTTGTAAGCATTGTGTGACAGTAGTTAGTTGAAATAATCAAGCTCCATTTGTTCTCTTTTTTTACCATGCAGATGCAAGTCCTAATACTCATTTCTGGTTTGCAGTTGGTTGTGGTTTGGCTTTTATGACCTGTTGTTTGCAGAAAGGCTTGTTTTAGGTATGGCATGGGTAAATGAGTATGATGATAGCAGGGATAGAAAAGCCTTTTCTTTTTCTGTTTTCCATTTTCATTTTGTTTCTTTATGTTTTGTGGAAGCAGCTTTTTCTTCATCCAAATTTTCTCTTTTCTTTTGAGAAAAGATGAGTTGGGCTGTATTGGTAAGTAGCCTGAGGAAGCTTGCGAATATGGAGTTCACAAGTCCAAGGCCCACCATTCAAGATGGTCCCATAACAGACCTCACAGGAGTTTCTCTTTGTTATTATCCTTGTTTTCTCTTGAACACGTGTGTCCCTTACAAGCTGTAGTGGGAACCCATTTTTCTATGGAGCATGAAGTCATAATAAGAAACAGTTAATTCTACATTGAATTCCTCCAACAAAGTTCTTTGGATTGGTATTTTGTTGTGGTGATACTCCTGAATTACAAGCATCAGTGTATAGCTGGCTCCATATGACCCAGAGGACAGTAAAGAGTCTTAGGGACTTAAGATGCCTGCTTTAGAGCCAATTATGGGAGAAGAGTCATGGAAAGAAATGGCCACTCAGTGTTCTCCTGGCAGCTTTGTAACACTATTTAGGGCTTTTTTGGGTTTGGAAGTATTGTGATATCAAGATTAAAAAAAAAAAAAAGCTTCTGTGAGCTACTGAAACTTTTAAGGCTTTTTTGTGGAAATTAATTAATCTCCGCTAGTTTCAAGAGAGGTTGATATGTAACTTCAAAAATTGGGAAAGAAAGATGGGTGAGGATCAAGGGCACTTCAATGCCATAGCTTGAGTGACTGAGCAGATGTAGAATTAGTAGTTAAGTCTGCCATAAGCTATTGGTAATTGACTCTTAGGATGAGATTTAGCTGAGCAGCTGCAAATGTTTCCATCTGGAGTAGTCACCCAGGGCTCCCTGGGCTCCCTGAATAATCACTGCAGAGAAATGGGCATTTCCAGGACATCTTCTGTCTATCATACATATATTCCATGAGGGCAAATGACTTGTGATTCAGAAGTGCCCATTCCTCTCTGTTATCTATGATTTTACGCTAGTTTAATATAAACATAAATTCTATGGAACAAGAATGAATCTTTCTTTGGTTTTTACTTGAACCTGAGATTATTGTAAGATAATAGTCAAGTAATATTACAAGACAAACAGTGTTTTTCCTTAAAGGTTAAACGATTATACAGTACTCTGGTCTGTTACATTTTGAAACCACGTATGTATTGTGTCTTTGGCTGCTGAAACCAGTTGCAATCTAACTACATAAAACCAGAATAACGTGGTAGCAATTGAGGTCATTAGCATTTTATTCTTGATAAGTTTTATTCCTTGTACTTGTGGATGATGCTACTGGTTAGACTGATTAAGGCTTCAGAACATACTTGAATTTTTGCATGTAGAGAGATTTGAAGGCTAGATGTGAAATGAGGTCCTGCAAGTACTCATGTAGTTAAAAGTCCTTGAGGTGGCCTATTTTTGTTCTCCCATAGACCTGGTTTTGGATTTCTGGACCCCTGTGCTTGTACTGTGTGGAAAGGCTGTACCGCTACATCCGCAGCAATAAACCAGTCACAATAACTTCAGTAATAAGCCATCCCTCCAATGTCCTTGAAGTAAGGATGATGAAAGATGACTTTGAAGCAAGGCCTGGTCAGGTGAGTTAATGTGCCCCTAAAAAAGCACTGTTTTCCTGTAGCGTTGTCTATAGGGATGACTGTCGATTTATAAACACTAGCCCATCACTGAATGTTCTGAAAGTATCTTTTCTGTTATTTTATTTCAGTATGTCATTCTACACTGTCCAAGAGTGTCTGCCCTGGAAAGCCATCCATTCACCCTTACAATGGTAAGAAATACTGTTCTTTTCTGTACTTTCCCTTTTATTTGTATTTGGTAAGCAAATGGTCTTTTTTATTTCTTTCAAGGTGAAAATTCTCTCTAGAAGAGCTTATGTTTCATTTATGAGGGTACTAATGAATGTGAAATGGCATGATTATTATGTATGACAGTACTTGATACATATTTAATTTTCTCCATTGTTGAGAAAGTGATAATAGGAACTTTTTTTGAAGTCTTCTATAAGTGAAAACCAGTAATAAATAAATGAATAAAATCCATGTGATGTCGATAATTGTTTCATAAAAGAAGTTTTAGGCGTATTTGTAGACCTTAATGAAGAATGAGCACAAATTGTAATGAACTTTGTCATCTTTCCTCTTCAATGAGAAGCTCTTTCTGTGACTGCCTTTTCCAAAATTAGGTAAACATCAAGTTTAAAAAGGAAGTTTCTAAAATTATTTCCTGATGTATTTTTGTATTATGATACACCAATAAAGTCATACAACATTTAGATTATTACTTACTCTGCTCAGTTGGTCCAGAATGGGAACTGGGGCCTCTGGAGATAGAAATAAAATGATATTTTATATAAATGTACCTGAAGTTCTTCAGGAGTACACAGTACAGAGACCTGGGATGTGCTACTGAACTGACTGACTGTGTTGTTACAAAAGCAGAGTTTTTAGAAGAGAATATTAGTGGCAGCCTTTTCCTTCCAAGGGGAATAAAGGCTTTCAGATTGCCTGAATTGGATATTCTTCTTCAAAAAGATCATTGAGATAAACATTCATGTTTGATTCTTTTCTTTGGACTGATAACTGATACTTTGTCCCCACTGAGTTATACCTAGTGCTGTGGAAAAACCGGGAGGTTTTACTGCTACCCAAAAATCAGAGGGCACAACCAGGTCCAGTTCTTTGGGTTTGTAGGGTGTTTTATTTTGTTTTGTTAACTTATTTATCTATATGCTGAGCCAGGAATCACAGGAGAACCCCCACAAAATTTCACCCAGGGTAAATTTTGTGCTGTAAATCTGGGAATTAATCTCACTTAAGGGAAGCTGCCTCTGTATAGCTTGGTGAATCATTAATGGCACTTGCATAGCCTGAGTTTTTCAAAGGCTTTAATGCTTATAGAATGTGTAGGCAAAAGCTTAACTCAGTTGTTTTTCTACTCCCATCTGACCTACTTGTAGTTACCAATCAAGCTGGAACACTACTGCTGCTTCTTTTGTTGGATAATGATAATCCCTGGATAATTTTTCTACCTTGGTTTAGGAGTATGGGACTTTGATCCACAGCAAGAACAGCATGAGGGGTGTGTGAGGCTTTGGGTACTGGAAGTGCAGTGCAGGAATGACTGTAGCACAGTTGGGGGAAGACTGTGGTGTTCTTCCTGGCACTGTTGTCCTGCTTAGAATCATAGAATACTTTGGGTTGGAAAGGACCTTTAAAGACCATCTAGTCCAATCCCCTCTGCAATAAGCAGGGACATCTTCAACTAGATCAGGTTGCTCAGAGCCCCATCCAACTTGGCCTTTGAATGTTTTCAGGGATGGGACATCTACCACTACCACTTTTCTGGGCAACATTTCTTCCTTATCTCTGGTCTAAATCTCCCCTCTTTTATTTTAAAACCATTACCCCATGTCCTATTGCAACAGTCCATGCTAAAATGTCTGTCCCTAGGCACTATGTGATGTCCTTTTTATGCTGATGAAATATCTCACTGTGTCTGGAGCATGTTTGAAAGACAAAAAGTTCAAGCAGAAAAGACCAGTTCAGGCATATCTTTATACTTTTAAGTGAGGATGATAAGCAAAAGTGTAAATGAAGGGGTGAGTCACTGTGAAAGAGTCATGCAAATATTTTACTAGTCCCTTCCCTTTTCAAGGTTGTGTAATATTTACAATTTAGCTCAGTTTCTTACATAACACCAGGGTGGAGGAACACACAGGGAGGCTGTGTAAAGGCCCTGAACCCACTCCAGTTGCATTCTGGCAAAGCTCCCACATTTCACTTGGAGCCAGAGGGAGCTCTTAATTGTGACCAAGGGCACATTAGGAGACTTTATTCTCTTTGCACCCTTCCTTCAGGTATTTATATACTTTGATAAGATCCCCTTGAGCCTTCTGTTCTCCAGTCTGAACAGTCTCAGCTCTCTGAGTCTATCCTCATAGGAGACATGTTCCAGTCCCTTCATCGTCTTCTTGATTGGATGCTATCCACTATGTTCACATCTCTTGTAGTGAGGAAACCAGTACCGGACATGGGTCTCAAAGCGTGGTTTCACCAGTTCTGACTAAAGAAGAATAACCTCCCTCAACCCTTTGGTAGTGTCCCTTGTACATTCTGAAGTTCAGACACTTAGAGATCTCAGTTTTCTCTCACGATCAGTGTGGAAGCTGGCTTTTTTTTAACTTCAGTTTTGAAGTGTGCTTCTGCTGGTCTTTACTCACTAGTGACTTTGTACTTACTAGTATGACTGCTGGTCTTTGTCACCTGTTGGAAAGCGTGAGAAAGCTAATGAAGAGATGGTCTAACATCTGAGATTCCTGTAGGTGACCTGCTGGACAATTCTAGGTAGTGCATAGTGGGTTACTCACTTGACAGTGTCTTCATTGCTCCACTGTCTTTGATTTCACTTTAACAAAAAGTTTTCTTTTTATCATGTTTTATGATGCTTTTTTTACCGATTTCTATACACAGCTGTACACTGTACACAGCTGTTACTGTGCTGTGTAAGACAGCGTGAGTAACATTTACAGTCCTGTATGCCCTCATGTCCAGTTTACTTGTTTTAGATAGGACACTATTGCATCTTACAGTTGAATCTGAGCAGAACACAGTCAGCTTGAAAGTGTTTTCATCTATAGTTGAGAGAAATACTTTCTGTATATAAACAGTTGAGTTTTTGTAAATGGACAAATTATTTTTGTGTGTTTCCACTTGATGAACACTTTTGAGGAGATGTCTTTCAAAGCAACCAAAAGATATAGTCTGGAGATCAGACCATCCAAAGAAACATCAGAAATCTCTCTAGTGCTCTGTTTCCCGAGATTGACATTTCTTTACACTTTTCTGGAAGAAAGTGTGGAACTCATCTGCTATGGAACACAGTTTAGATGTAATTTTTTTTAGACAATCTTTAAAGACCTTGAAAAAGAAAGCAAATATTATGAATAATAAGAATTTCCAGTAGTTAGGATGGTCCCTCTTACCAAAACTAAGAAAAAAGTTAGTTTATTCTTCCCTTTTTTTTTTTTTTACATTTTATAAAGTTTTTGACTCCATTCTGGTTGCTCTTCATTTTAACCTCTATGAACAAGAAGAGACTAAGGCTTGCAGTTTACAGTAGCATTGAGTTTTTCTCCATCTTACATTTTCCCCTGGTATTGAGTTCCCTCTCTTTCTTTTTTTTTTTTTTTTTTTTTTTTTTTTTGGCCAATGAGTAGCTTCAGAAGTAGATTTCTATTTAGAATATATATTAGTGTCTTACAACAGGAGTCACTTTTTCTGCTGTGTTTTTGGAATTTCTTGCATTAGCATGCAGTGATTGGAAGCCTCCTGGAAATAGCCTTGTGTTTTGCAGATATTAAGTGCTTCAGAGGATGTCCTGGGTTCTCTTGTGCAGCCTCTGCTGAATCTACTACAGAGTCAATGCACAAACTTTCACAAGTTGCAGTTTAGAGTAGACTGCTGTCTACTCCCAGCAGCTCATAAAGCTTGGTGACCTTGTTATTTCAGTAGTGTTGATTTTTTTGTGGCAAAGGAAGGTAGGAAACAATTACATCACCTCATGTAGGACTTAGACTGTAACAGACATTGAAATAAAGACAAAACTAAGAGGTGAATTCTTCTAAATTTGGAGATGGCTAAGATCTGAGGTTTGGTGAAACTTTTGCTTTGCGACAGCAACCTGTAAATGCTGGATCAATAATCTGTTATTCCAAAGTTTTGATGGTTTTAGGTGTCGCTAGCTGCTGTCATGCCCTTGTTTCCCCTTGGACCTGAAATCTGAATATTCTGAAGTTTCCTTTAAAGACTTTTTTTTTTAATTGACACATATCTCAAGTTACTCCTATTGATACTTAGACACAGGTAACTTGCATAAACACTTGTTGAGCTTTGTGTCTGTATAAGATGTACTTTGCATGCCAGCTGATTAGTAGCTTCATGATATAGAGTTAGAACAGGCAGATGGCTTGGAAGTTGCACATATAAAGCAAAAAATAAAAATAAAGAAGCCACAGCAAAGATCTCAGTCTTGAGACTCCAGTGACTGTGTCTTCGGATCCTCCAAAGAGTGTTGGATCTTCATTCAGTGTCTAGATCCCAGTTCTGGCAACAGGTAAGCAATGATCAACTACCTGCAACAAGAGGTTTGAAATATTTTTTGAAAGTAGAAATTTTATCCTGTGTTACAATGTACTCCGACCTCCCCTACTTCAGTGCTGCATAACAAATCTGCTTTTAAATCCCACTGAAGTAGAACCGGAAGAGTCTGGTAAAAAAAAAAAATTCCAAGAAGTTAGTCGTTTTTCTGGTTCTCCATCTTTTTGTGCAGATGGTTAATTTGAAGCAGATCACATCAGGAGGATTTGTAGTACCACATCTTTCTTCCTTTCCTTCCGCATACAGTTCTGTATGAGGAAGAAAAGAAAAACTCCAGAAGATCTTGAATTCTGTTGTCATAGAAATGTATGATAAAATCCTTGCTATGTGACTTATGGCATGTACCAAGTTAGGGGGATGGTATATGTGCATTTTTTAACATGTCAAAGCTGAGTTTTTAGGAGAGGATAAGTTTGCATATGCAGGTATTCAGATCCACTCAAATCCAGGTATATATTATTGAGGAAGAATACTTTGCCTGATTAGTATCCAAGTTAAAATTTCATAAAGTAATTATTACTGAATCTCGGGCAGAGAAACTCTTAAACTCATCTCAGAATAGGTAGAAGAATTACCTGGAAGAGATTTCTGAATGTACATTACAAGTTATATA